GCTGAAAATTTGGCATGCAAGATCACGTGAATTCACCAACTGTCAACACAAGAAAATCCAACATCTTCCCTTGAACTATTATCTTCAACAATAGATACACAATACATAAACCTTCAAACGATGAAGTTGAAGCAAACACCTTCAACCAAAAGCCCAGAAAATCTGCGAAAATCCAGGTACTAAAAGCTCCAAACAACAAAACACCCTAACAAAACACCTAGTGAGTTCGCGACTGCCTGCATTTCTGGATCAAATTCGTGCTGTTGTGGGTAAAATTGGTGTTGACCCATACATGGGCTAGGAGCGCCAGGTGAAGGCAAACCTATCCCAAGTGGTCCGCATCCATGGGTGCACCGGACAGTTCTGGAAATTGAGTTATTCGCTGGCGGAATCGCGAGCTTCGCGACTGGGCAGTTTTCAGAATTAAATTCAGCATGTTTGAGAGATGATATGGATGAATTGCCACTACGTATAATCTCGTCTGGATGTGGGGAAGAGGCCAGTAGGGTTCCGCGAGCATGGGTGTGGCCAGAGGTGGTGTTTCCTTCCGTTTTCAGATTGTTGGGCAGTGAATTTTGAGCATTAATTTCGGCTGAAATACTTGATGGAATTGGATGGTGTTTGTTGGTAGTTGAAGGGGATGTTAGGAACTGTCAGCCGGTAACCAATTTCGGCGGTTTTTCCTGCCGAGAGTTGCCGGAAATTTGGTTCATTTTTGGGTGATTCTAGAGAGAAGGGAGAGCATTTGGAATTTGAAATTTGACTAGCATATACTTTAGTAGTTTAGCGTTTAGCGGGGTTGGAGTCTTAGTTAATAGTTTAGATTAGGACGTAATTATTATTTGATCAAAATGTTTAATTAGAATAAATGGTATTAATCAAAATACTTATTTTAGTAGAGTACACAGCCTAATTTTCCCATGATAATTTGGAGGAAATGTAAATGGGACAGTTAAAATGATTGAGATGGGCTCAACAAATGTGATGGGCCTGTTGTCGATATTTGCAGCCCAGTAGGACTTGCTACTCGTTAACTGTTGATGATGTTGAATTTTGGGAACAATACATAAATAAGGTATTTAAGTATCATCATTTCAAAATTAAGGATAGAGGTTTTGAATTTCAAAAATCAGGTTTTCATTAAAATTTATTTATAATTTAATTAATTAATTATATATTTTATTAATAAAAATATAAACGTCACACATCTATACAATTTGGTCATAATTCAAAAATTTTAAGGCCACAATTCAAAAAATTTATAGGTCACTGTTCGTTCTTCAGTCACAAATTAAAAATTTTTAAGTCACAATTTGTTTATCGGTTACAAATCACAAAATTATAAGTAACACAACTTGTTTTATGGTATCAAAATATCAAATTATAGGTCACAGATTACTTAATAAAATGTGAGTCGGTACAATTTTTAAGTCACACATTATTAATTTGTCAAAAATTAACCAATTATTGGTCACAATCAACCAAATAATTGGTTGCAGACACCCATGTCCATCTCATCCCCCCACGTCCATCGTCACGACACCGCACACACCCAACTGCCACAACAGTCGCCGCATGCACGCACACACACAACCGTTAGCAGTTCATTCACCCACAACATCGCGACCGCACCCACAGCACCGCGCGCGTGCACGCCCTTTCACACAGCACTGCACTCACACCTGTTCACACTTTGTGTCGGAGTAGAGACGTTCACACCTCCATCAACACCGCATAGCACACCTCCACCGAATCAATCAAAAAAAAAAAGAAAGAATGGATCTGCACCAAGACCACTGGATCTACACAAAGTCGCCAGACGAGGTTGCGCCGTCTCATGGAGACTGGGCTATTGGCGGAGAAGGAATAGAGTGGAGATGAGAGAAGGTGGAGAGACGGATCGTGTGTGGAGAGACGGTGAGAGAGTGGAGAGGATATGGATTAGTCTGGGTTTGGATAGTGTAGGTAGATATAAAAATAAAAATAATTTGTTTTAATCGTTAATTAAAACCTGATTTTTATATTATGAAACTAGATACCCGATTTATGAAAATGGTATTTTAAAACCAGGTGTAGGTGTAATTTCCTCTTAAATTTTTAAGATTCAAGGCCCAATATACTATTGGAGATGAATCAAAGTTGTCAAAATTTATATATGTTGTCTACTTGATTTAGTTTTGCGACCAACACTAAAGTAGAACAAATGATTGAATGGATTAAAGAAAAATTAATCGAAAATGAAAATTGGCAAAAGTGCAGGTGTGGTAGTCAAGCTTCAATTTGGGTCCATAATACTATTTCAAAAAGAGAACAACAAAAAGAGTAGAACTCACTGCCGTGCCATGACATACAATGGATTTTGGCTATCCGAGTTCGATTGGGACTTGAAAACTGCTTTTTAAGTTTTAGTGTTATTTTTGTCATTTAGTTTACTTCGAATTTTTTCAAGGGAAAATTACACAATAGCCTGTATTTGAAGTTTACTGTTCATAAATCATGTGCAAACTTTAATTAATCAAAAGTCAGGTAATAATTATATATTTTAATATTACTATTAATATTACAATAATCAAAGTCCAGCCAATTCGTGCCAAACCCTAATCCTTTTTCCATATCCTCTCTCTTCTCTCTATCTTCTCTCTCTCCCTCCCCTCCCCTCACAGCCTCCACTATCGTCGCCGTTTGAGGGGTCATAACTGGATTCTGATTCCTTGGTACTGGCGGCAGGAGATGATGAAGACAGAAGTAGCGGTGGACTATCGCTACTAATCAAACGTCCTCCACAACCACCTCCTATAACTATCGGAATTTGCTCTGTTAATCTCAGCCCATCTCACTGATCTCAGCCCATCTCGAGGACGCTGCGCCGTCACCACCACGGAAGCAGACTGGAGCCTCTTCGCGATCTGCCGCTGTGCGCGATCTCACTGATCTCAGCCCATCGCGATCTGCACCGGTGCCTCAGCCCATCTGCAACTGCGACGGCGATCTGCAAATGGATCTTTGTTGGGGTGGTAGATCTATAGGGGTGTGTGTGTGTGTGTGTGTGTGTGTGCGCGCAATGGCGGAATGGAGTTGTGGTGGTGGTGGAGTCGCGACGGGTGGGGGTGTGGTGGCGGTGACGGGTTTGGGGTTTTTTGTTGGGTGGTGGTTGTGGTGTGACATGGTTTGTTAATGGTGGTAGTGGTAGTGCAAAAGTGGTGGTGGTTGGAGATTCGATAGTGGCTGTGGTTTTTGTTGACAATTGATTGGATCTGTTAGCAATGATTTGGTGGTGGTGATGAGGTGTTGGTGTCGGTGGTCGTGGCGACGGTGACGGGGATGGTGGTGGATCCAGCGGCGATGGAGACGAGTGGTGTGTGACCATTGTTTGGCGTATGTGACCAAAATTCAGTAATATGTGACTTAAAGTATAATCTGTGACCAACGCGACCTAAAAATTATAATCTGGTTACAGTGTCATCTAAATTTTTGAGTTGCGATCGTAAAATAATCTGTGACATATAAAAATTATTAT